CGCGATACAAACGATCATTTCCTTTAGGTGAAACTAGGTTAATTCCACGACGATACGGGCATCTGCCTCGTGCTTAAATAATGTAACGATTCAGTAGTTTCACACAGTATTTATCCAAGTCCAGGATTCTTTTCAAATTTTATACAAAACTCAGTAGACGTAAATTAGTACATTTTCTCATGGATACGCGCAACGACGATACTTTTCAACTACCCGAAAATCGTACTAGTGGCATTGACCAAAATTTCAGACAGCTCGTGACATTGATTTCGTGTGATATTAGTGCAAACGCCTGCAGCTCAACGAATACCAAAGCACGAGCGCGGCATCCCTTTTGAACGAGCGGAGGGCTTTTATTTGGTGCGAAATGCCCGCGGGCCAGTCAGTTTGTGCGTACACAGGGGAAGGGGTGAATGGAATCTCTCAATCAGACGTCGAATTGGACCGCGCGCGTCGCGTTGCGCGAAACGAAATTTGTCGATCAACTCAATTAACTAATTGTTCACCCCCGTACGGTAATTCTCTTTCTGGCCATCGTCACTTTCCTTCTCGCGGAAGCGAGGAACTGGCGATAGTGGACAGCGTCAAACGAACCGAGATTACACTGTAAAACCACGTTCGTTATTCGACCCTCCTCTCGCTGCATCCGGAGGACTCTCGAAAATGATCCACTTGACCGGCGGACACGGGCACGTTTATTGGTCACTGGGTTTGCGTATCGATGGCCTTTGAATCGAGTTAACTCGGTACGAAGCTGCTACGAAGATTACCGATTACCCAGAAGGAACTGGAAAATAGTTACCGAGTCGCAAACTCGAAGCCCGGAAACGATTGAGGCGCAGATAAGTAAACCGAAGCAGGCTCGTAATGGAATTAAGAATCAACATCGAGTTCCTGGTCGTTGCATTTTACAAGACGAGATAAATGTTTGGCTTGCGTATTAATGAAATGTGAAACTTTCAAGCCGTGTTAATTGACGCGGGTCTCGCATAAAAATCGCCAATTAACGTATTAAAAACGTATCGCGCGATTCTGAAAATTACGTTCATTCTCTCATCAACGAATCAATCTCCCGATTACATAAACTAGTGCACACGCGAAATCGTAAATCTTTAGAACGGGTCGTTAAATTTTCATCGCATCCCAGAGCGTTTCTTAACGCTAACGTGTTACGTAACGCATAATTTCGTTGCGACGCTAATACGAGCACCGAGCATACCCGTACCGCTCTCCATTGTTCTACAGATGTTAAACAGAGAACCGAGTACTAATCCCTTGATCTTCCTGCGTCCGCGATTCCTTCGCCTTATTACAGAAACGTATAACAGGACTTTTCTCTCCGTGGAAACATATCCAGTTACGAAGTTTCGCGGTCCGCGCGGTAGCTACCTATTCCAGTTTCGGCGCCATAAAAGTTTCCCTCCGCGTGGAGGAAACTCGATAAATCACTGTAGTACGCATCGCCGTCGGAGAATGATAGAATCTAATTTCCCGCGGACACCTTACCTTGGGTGAACCTTGAACGATCAGGACCACACGTACGCGTACACGTATACGTCTGTACGTAAGCGAGTGCATACGTGTCCGCCCACACGAGCCGTTCGCGTACCACGCCGTGTTCACGCAGCATGCGTGCCAGAGTCCCTCTCGAATTATGCAAATTCGCCGCAGCCACTAGCTGTATGATCCGACGGTACTACGCCAGTTCCGAGCAAAGGGTGAACTAATGACGATGGCCTGGCCGTTGGCCTAGCTAAGGGAACGTCCAGTTGATCCGTCGGTACGTGATGCTGTGCAAGCTCGCCTCGAGTTCTCCGGCTAAAATCCCAGAGTAGTGATTGGCAGGTCCCCGACGGTCCTCTGGGTCTGTCATCAGAACTGGGCGAGCGTGACTGCGACAGATTCGGACCGAGGGAATCATTTCTTATCTCCCATGAATGCCGATTTGATGCGATTCGGCCGGTTGGCTCCTACGCCAACCGTTTTCCATCGCAATTGATTACTTTTATTCGGAGGAGAGCGGAGAGGTTTCTCCAATTGGTATTGGTGCCCGTCGATGATCGATAGTGGAACGTTAATTCGATGGGAACCGAGTGGATCGTGAATATTCTTGAGAACGGGCTAAACTTCCTTTTTCTTAACGATCGAGATTCTTCGGAGATTCTCCTTTCCCTATTTTTTCGGAGAATTTTCTCGATGGAGAGGCTGATTTCTACATGGGTGGAGGTAGAGGATTTCGTAATGGGATTGGTTGTAACGCGATGTTGCGAGTCTCAGGAAAATGTTTGTTCCGCGGACGGCAAGAAATTTCAATATCAACCGTTGCATATTTCATGCACAAAGGTAGTGTAATATTATTCTATTTTATACCCTTTAGAATGATACGGTCCGTGGTAAAATATGCAACGTAAGTTGAAAGCGTCTGAGTTATCTACGTTCGTGAAACGCAAAGTCTAGAAACAATGTTTAAAAGTTGGGTTCCCTTTAAAGAGGACGGGATTGCAATTTAAATTGGCTACGGAGTACCTTGTAACTTGTTCAGAAAAATGAATCATCGCGATCTTAATCGCGTGAGGTTAATACTTGTAACGGTCCCCCGTCTTACAACACACGATTTAGAAATAGAATCAGATCTCAATTTATGGCACTACTGCGCTGACGCGAATCGAGAAATATGGAATCGAGGTCTTCGAGTTTTAATCAATTAGCGACACGAAATGTATGCGCACGAAGACTTTGCGTTTGAAAATCGATCGATAATAAACAGTCTCCCCGGCGAAATGCTTATCACTGATTCGAGGTTCAAACTGTAATCACACGAAAGTGCATTACAGTTTTTCTAGGTTGCAGGATAGTATATCTACTAGTACGTGGTACGAGGACGAGGAAAGCGGTTACCGTGTTTGCGAGTGCTCAAGAGGTCATGGAATCTTCCTGGCTTTCCTGTGAAACGTAGGATTCCACTTCGAGGTAGTTCGATATTTGATTTGACAAGCTGCCTCACCATAAAAGAAACGCTGCTCATACTCGTTCGAATAATTTACATTATTCCTGATTTTCTGTACGCTCGTAGTTCCAATTACAAGATCTGCATTAATTTATGAAACCCGTTTCCTCTTCGAATAAGATGAAAGAGAGATCGTGTTAATAATTCAGGTGTACCAAGCAAATTATTCAACAGCTGACTATTGGAAAGTCCTTTGTGTTAGATTGAATTATGGCAAACAAGTATGTATCTCATCCGATTGTTCATGAAGTAGTATGCACATACAGCAGATGATTATACGGTGTAGAATGATTTCGCGGAAAGATGATATCAGTAAAGTGGAATATCCTGCTCTACGAAAAAAGGAAAGAAAAAATAACGGATAAACAAATTTCATCATGTGGGGATATTACATCGTCGTTTAAATATCATCCATTGCGCATGAAGTGGAGGCTAATGGAATTTCACTTCCGACCTTCGTACCGATATGCACGATAGTTTTAAGCTACTGTAACTTCCGAACAACCATCCGTGTCTTCGTGCGTTCCGGACTTCGATCCCGCGTTTTTAAAATGTGCATATAATTAGAACTTGGTGGAAGTTTAAGACGCGAATACGATCGTTTATTCAATTTTTCTTCGTCTCTCCTTCTCCTTGGCGCATTGGTTGCGGCGCTTTTAACGTTAAAACTGTTCGATGGAAACAAAGAAGGATTTAGGTCAGAAAGAGTTATCTCATTGTGTACCGTAGTTCACGTAAATCAGTAGATTCAATATTTCCCTTTGAATCTCCCGTAAGATAATAAGTACTACTGCCTCCTACGTTGCTTTGTGAGATTTTTAATTAATTCACTTGTCAATGTAATGCGCCGGCAAGTGATACGACACGACACAATGCGTCAACTGCATTTTCCTCTTTGCTTCGCGAATTAAAGGGATCCATCAAATTGTGCCAAGTTTCATCTCGCAGCATAAATTAGCGATATAGAGCAGCAAAAGAGCGAGAAGGTGAAGTTATAACGAGGGGACTGTTCGGGCTTTTCGAGTAATTACAGCGAACTGCGGCGTGAAAATACGATAACCGGACGTAACAGGCCGTTTGGGTATCTCTCGCGCGCGAAATAGTTACAGCCTCTGGAAACGGTTAAAACGTCTCAATTTGCACGGGAACGCATAGTACGTTATAGCGATCCGCAACGAGCGCTCGAACCGGGAAAAGATTTAGCGAGGGGACACGTCGATTTAACGACGCTCTCCAAATACTACTCCTCGAAAGAGAGCGTAATCGGATAGGAGGTCAAGCGTTTGGCTGCGGACGACGCGCGTGGCTGTAATACGCGAGAATTACGTCCGTGAAAATCGCTGACGCGTGCATCGTTCGTGTGGAAAGTCGCGGCAGCCGTCTTTTCCACGTTATTGGCACGCCTGTGCTCGCTCGCTCGCACGCACGCACGCTTTTGGCTCGGTTCCTTGCGCCAGAAAAGTTCGCGCGGTGGTCACGGACCGATCTAGTCTGTCGGTGTTCTACTCGTTCTACTGCTCGGGTAGGAGACACGAGTAAGACGAGCAAGTAGTGTAGGCGAGCGGGTGGTCGGGCTTTTCCGCGAGGCGAGTAGCGAGCAAAGAGCGCGCGAGTAAACGAACAGGCGAACAGGCCGCGGCCGGAGGCGGGTACGCGGTCGCGATTTTCCCCTACCCAGTTTGGTTGGCCCGGCGGGCAGGGACGGCGCAAGCGCGAGATTCTTCCCCACCCCCGGTCGGCGGATAAGAACAAAGACGAAGGAAACGGGTTGAAGCGGGACGGCTACTGATAAGGACGAAAAGAGAGAGGCGCGCGAATCGGTTGGAGAGAGCGAGAGAAGTCAACGTCGCCCCGCTACCGCCGGCACCACTGCCGCCGCCGCCGCCGTCGCCACCGCCGCCGCCGCCGCTCTTCCCCGTCATTTAGTTAGCCCCTCTTCCCCTCGGCACCCCTACCCCCCGCCCCGCGCCCCGAGAGCGCAGTGTCGCGTCGAACCTCTCGCAGAGCGCGTCGCACGTCCGAGTACCGGCCGCCGCCCGTCATCAGTAGTCGCCGTACCGCGCAGCCACGTAACCTCTCACCTTCTCCTTAGTTTTTAGTAGTCAGTAGTAGGGGAGAGTGTGGAGAGAAAGAGGAGAAAGAGAGAAAGAGAGGGAGAGAAAGTGAAAAAGAAGAGAAAAAAATTTTGCGGAAGACCGTAAACGAGAAATCAGCGAGAAACCGACTGTGAGAAATAAGGGAGAAAACGAGAGGTCGACAGCCTGTTTTTTCGTCGTGATCTGTACTCATCGTAGCAGTCGTTTATCGTCGTCGTCATCGACGTCGTCGTTGTCGTTACCGTTGTCGTCTACGTCTACGCGGTGGTCGTATCTGCCCCCGGTGCCGTCGTCGTCGTCGTCGTCGTCGTCGTCGTCGTCGCCGTCGTCGTCGTCGTCGTCGTCGTCGCCGCCGTCGTCGTGATCCGGCTCGACGCGACCAACGCGCGGATAATTTCGTCGCAGCTCGTTGCCGCGGCAAAAACGAAGAAGCTGAGAGAAGTGCTAACCGTGAAACGTACCGCATGTACGTACCGTACCACGTACCACCGTCCTGTCGTCGATAAATCATCGCGCGACAACAGCGGAAAAACAACCCCTCGCGCAACCACCGAAAACGACGGAGCGCCGCGCGTTCGGGCGACCAGGGAAACAGAGTGAGACCGGTGAACAACAGAGAGCACGAAGGAGCACGCGTGGAGAACCGAAAAGGCGCGAGTAAACTTATCGAGGGAACACCGAGGATCTTGACTGTCAAAAGTCGCGTGAAAGTGCGTGTCGTGCCGTGACATCGGAAGCGTTGACACGCGGTTAGATCGGAGTCGAGTAGAGCCGAGGCGGTGTTTTGCCCGAGATCAAACACGGTTCAGCTGACGACGCGGTCAAAGGCGGAAGAGTATACGAGAACCGAACAGGGCGGCTATCGGTAGTGACCGACTGTCACTGCCACTGGTACTAGTGTCATCGTAGACAGAGTAACCCCGGGCACGCGAGAGCGTTGTCATAACGACGAGCAGTGCGCCGCGCGTCGCTATGGAGCCACAGAATCAGGAAATCGTTGCGAGCGGTTCACCAGCCGAGGTGCCGAACGATCCGGGGTACGAGAAACCAGGATATCCTGATCCTAAAACACTACATCCATTACATCCACCACCAACGAGATCGAGAAGTCGTGCGTGAGAAACGGAGCGAAAGAGCGACCAGCGGATCGCTCCAAGAGTGTGTTGACGCCGCCCGATCATATTCAAGACGCGTCGCGTCGTGTTTGTTATCTTGTGTTTCAGTTGTCCACCTCCGCGCGAGTGTTTGTTCTGTTGTTGCTTATGCCTTATCGACAGCACGAATCGTGCCCGCGGCCTGTGGCCGCGTGTCCGACTTCGTTTCGTGTTTATAGTCGCGCACGCTCGCTGTTTCGTTTCCCTCGCCGTTAATTCGTCACCGTTTCATTCTTGTCGTGGTCACCGTAATAATTGAAAGGCCATCGTGGTTAGTCGCTACACCCTCGAATTCGTGAAACGTACAGTGTTTATGTTTACCGGGCGCGTGAATATGCGTGCTAGGCGCTCTCCTCGGACCGGTGCACGGTGGCGCCTTCTTTCAACGTGCTCAACACCCCCTCAGACTGGCTGAAACGAAAGGAGGGAGGCAAAGGGAGAAGGTTAGATGAATGGGAAGTAGCAGCAGGGGGTTCGCGAACGGGTGAGGCGTAAAGGGTTGAGGAGGGTCTTAACGCTTTCGAAATTGTCGTCAACAAAAACGGATCATTGATGATAACAATCATCAATGTTTACAAGGAATTGGGTAACTCTTCGAGCATTGCTACGAAGGGGGTGTGTCACGTGGTAGTGAACTATTTCCGATTCCTTTTAGCACGGTGTCTCGTGATTACCACGTGACTGGGGAGTTAAAACAGACGAGGAAGTTCAGATAGTTTGTGAGTTACCGGTTTAGACAACTCGGAACGTTTCCTTTTTTTATCTGGTCACTATCGTTCATACATTACGTAACACGTGGGTGCGCGTATTTGTATACAGCGTAACGGAATGTCGAGAAACAAGCACGTCGGAATAGTTTCGCGGGGGTGACACATGTTTCGCGATTTTGACTTGGAAAGTTGAACGGTGGTTTGCAACGGTAGCTCGGTGTATCTCCCACGATCGATTGCGACGACATATGGTCAATGGTTTGCCCTATTAATTCTCTTGGATCTATCAACGGAGTACAGTGCAGTAGCCTACTCTAGTTCTTCGTATCACGAAGACCTAAACAGGGAGTAGAAGAGGGGTGGGAGGGACAAAGGTTGAGAGTGAGAGGGACGAACGCGTGGGCGAGGGGAATAGGGTATATCGTCCCGCGGAAAATCGATGTTCAAATGCTACCACGTGATTACGTCCACAACGTACGCGTGAGTGTTATCTATGTGGATATGCTCTGTTCATCGTGATTATCTTTGCTTTCGAATAACGCTCAGTGTCATGCTATCCGTATTGTGGTCATCCTTGGGAACGTAATAAAAATCATTAGAAAAATATAGGAGCAAAAATAGTTGGGAAAAAAAACAACTTGCGCTTCTTTAATATCTCACGACTTGTTGTACAGCTAAAACCGATATCGATGTTAATGATAGCATAACACTGGTTTATTTGTTATTCTTGGCCTAAGTCACATGTCGCTCTAAATGCAATTGCTTTCGAGTCAGAGTTCACCAGTAAATAACATTTTTTACCGTTTAGATTTTGCGTTCTTATGCAGCAGTTCTCTTGTACGGTTTTAAAAGTTCCAAGCCAAACGCGTCTGTGCTTGAAACGTATTTGCATTACGACCACGCGCTTGTCATGCCCTTGCGGACCCGGCTGACTGAAGCCAGTGTATAAACGCTTTTACGATACCGATACTACTTCTTGTAAACTGGTTAGTAAGTATAATCCGCTACAGCGATGTAAGCATAGACTTGATTCATTGCTCGGCCATGAGCAATTACCGTTTTATTTCTGTTAACCACTGTTTTATTAAACTTTCTATACATACATTATATCGTAAAACGTAAAGCGACATGCATTTCCACGTTACGATCGTCGAACTTGCGGGTAGATTCGAATTCAAACGGCGCGTTGCGCGGCGGTAATCCAGTTTAATTTTCTGCGCTAAAGGATACGTTGTGGAAAGAAGGCGCCCGAGGTTCGAGGGGGCCACGTGTTTGTTGTGTTCCGTGCGTGAATCGTTTGGTTTCTGTTTCGAACGGATACGACGTCTCGCGAATTGAGTCGTGCTTTCATGGAGTTCTATTAATACGAAAGAAAATGAAAAAGTATCCCGCGAGTTGTTGGTTGATGTGTGGTGACACCTGTCGTCGACAAACGGAGACTGCGCAGGGGGTTCCGGTACCGGAAGTTACCCTCTGCGGGCAGTCTCCCCCTGTCTTCCTTCAACACCCGTCGAAGACACGAGCCGATGCCGATGCTGATGGATTCATCTTTCTTGTTCTAGGAAAATGTTCATCGGTGGTCTATCTTGGCAGACCAGTCCAGGTATGTACTCGACAACGTAAATAATATCGTTTGAAACGCGGAACATCGATTTTGATCGTCGCGATCACTCGTTCAGACTTGGCGCGCCAGTTGAACTTGCGCGCGCATCCGCGGCTACACCTGATAGACTGCGCGCGCCGCTATTGTTGTTAAACGGTAGGAAGCTTCGTTTTGTTTCGTGATGTGATATGTGACATTGTGAATGGTGTAAATTTATACTTTGTGTTGTGCCTGCTGTTCCAAACTTATTTGGGATGACGAAACGATCAAGGTACGATAATAGAGAATCATATCTGTTAACTATTAAACCGATTTACTATGAATATGAACCATGTCACATGTTGCATGCCTGTACGTACGTTTGGGGGGTTATATGTTTACCAATAAGTTAAAGAAAATGGTGTATCGCTCGAGCATTACTGCGTATTAAGATTATTTAGAAAGAAATACACGGGTAGGGCACGATCATCGTTCTCGTATGGATATTTGCGTCAACATTTGAATCACTAATGAATGGCATCTGCCACATGCCATACCGAATTCGAGGGGAGAATTTTACACACTTACCATCTTTTTGTTCGTCAGTCATACATACACAGTCGTGATTGCTATTCGAAAAATTAATTACCAGCTCTTTCAAACTGAAAAAAAGATATCATTTGTGCAAAAGTGGAGTAAAAGCAGGTCCTTCGAGGAGCTGCTCGGTTCTAACGAAAGAAGCGTGCGTGGTCGATGAGGCAATGACGAGGAGCACGTGCAAAACTTTTGACGTGGCTCGTTCGCGTGTTCGAGTTACCTAGCAGTCCTTTCATCTTCGTTAAGAGACTCGTGCCGATCGCGTACAAGGTAGAGAGAGAAGGAAACAAGAAAGGAGAGCAAGGAAAAAAAAAGATACGTCACGGCGCGAGAAGGAGAGACTGGAACGCGGAACGATAATCGCGGCACGACCAAATGGCCACGAGTCGTCGAGCACGTCTTTCGGTTGTCGGCCGGAAGAAAAAATGTGGGCCTGCACGAAGCGTGCGCTCGTGTGGACCACGATAAGATTCAAGAGAATAATTGATAACTCGGATCGCGCGCGATTTTGAGAAATCGTCGACGTCGACGAGGGCACCGCGAAAAAAGCACCGGTCTCGCGTGCTGGAACGACTCGATCATTCGTCATGTGCGACAGCCAGAGAAATCGTATCCGATCGCGTTCTTCTTAGACTCAAAAAGCGATCGTTTTATATCGACGTCGGAGAGGGAAATAAGTATAGTGGTTTTTAAGGATGAAATTATATTCCGTTCCATGGTCATCACAGTCTTTTCTCTTTTCCTTGTTACGTGAAGGATATCCTCTCTCTTCTTGTATCGGATTTGTTTAAGTGCGGTTTTATGGAGGATTCATTTTAATAATTATGTTACAATACCAAAAGACCGTTGCTAGCGTGTATACCAGGTATAATTCAATAATTTTGTACTGTAATGGGGACAGGAGTTAAACTCTTTGCTGATCGTGCAGCAATTACTTCTGATAATAATCTGATAGGTTCGTGACATAATTAGCGATGCAACGTTACGCCAGTCTACACGGTTTCCCTCGGTCGGCTCCAATTAAAGGATCCTCTCTCCCTCTCTGCTGAATTATTCAATTACACGAAAGAATGTTCGCTCATTGCCGTTATTCGCGGAATTCGCGGGAGAAATGCATGTTAAATTACGTGACATTTAATTAACCTTTCAAATTCGATTGAAATAAAACCCGGCGATCTTATTCTTATTTTATTTTCGTGCTCTTCATCGTCCTTGCAATCGAGCCCATAAGTGGAAAACTCTTCTCGCTTGCCGTGAAACGGACGTTAATTTCGCGATGTTCGACCTGCGGTAGGGAAGAACGTTGCTTCGTAGGAAACGAAAGTTTTCTGGCTGTGCACCGAGCTAAAGAACAAAGTCGTCCTTGCGTGAGTCGAATTAATATAATCACGCTAAGTGACCGTGATCGCGGCAATATTGCGAAACGATCGCAGCTACTCGGAAAAGAAGGCAACTAGTTCCGCGGAATTTTCGTGGCGGGAACGCACGGGTTACGTACGTAGGATGGTGTTTTCACGATATCTAATCAAGACGAACGCGTGACTGGAATATTTCCCGGTACGCGCAGAACTTTACGAGACCCGATGCGTTTTTTTTAGCTCGTACGACGCGTGCACGATAACGTTTAGACGGGTTTGGGTAATGAGCACTTTGATTAAGAATCGGAGAGCTGATTATTAATATAAATGAACCAAGGAAGCATCCTTTCGATCGAGATCTATTATCTAAGAGAGGAAGTAGAAACGAAAAGGAAATAAGTATCTTAGCCTTGTTCATGAATAAAAAGCGAAAGCTCGATCGCACGAATAGCAGTAGCATTAACGTAATTGACTGTATTATCCAATTACACACCACTGTCGTAGAAAACAAAACGTAAAGTTCGCTTAACCTCCACTGCTCTGAAAACGATAAAATTAATTCGCAGCTACGCTTTTACTGTTCGCCACTACCGTTTCTTTAAATAATTCATGGTAATCTATGCAGCTTTTACATTCGCTAATTCTCCGATCATTAACATATTGTGATAATGTACACACTGTCGGGGCAAATTCTTGCGCGTCGCATAATCTCGACACAATGCCACCGCTCGTTCACACGACGCTAATACATATTTTGGGAAACGAGGCGGGTTCACGCTTGTACTCGATTACGCGCCGTTGAAACAATTTTCGTAACTTCACGTCGCGACGGCGGGACGGGTCTTCTCCGGAAGAGAAAAAAAAGAATAAGACGAACGAAGGCGGAGTAGGCTCATTAGCGTTATTTGCCATCGTTACGTAAGTATAACTCCGTCTCGCTCCGTCCTCTTCTACGGTTCGCGCCTCTTTCTCGCTTTGTTAGGCGATCTCTCCCGTCAGTTGATTTTCCACGCGATGAAAAACGATGGAAAACCTGGTGTATGTATTCATCTACGAAAAGGAGAATAGCGGGAGAGTCGGTCGCTTCCGCTCCTAGTCGCGTGCGTTTTTCATCGGGACGAACGTTCGGTCGGTCTTTCCTAGAGGTTTGAACTTTCGCACGGGTGTCGATCGACGGAAATTGTGGAAAATAAATTCATTGAAACGTTTCGCGCTTGATGAGTTTTCCGGCGAATTATCGGTGAACAATGATCGATCGGTGGCCATGCCCTCGCGCTCTACTTCCACCGGTTCAGCCCTTCCTTTCATCGACGACGCGACGCGAGGCGACGCGACGCTACGAGAAAGCGTGTCTGAAGTAGGAAAAGCGGAGCAGTCGACCGGCCATTGCACGGTTCACCGTTGTAAACCGTGTTTTGCGCCGCTGTATTCCGCAAAAGTTCATAGATACAAAGATGCGGTGCGCGCTGCGTGGTAACCGTGGGAAAGCGTCTACGAGCAGTACGTTGCCACTATCGTTTATCGCGGTTCGCGAACGCGATGCGAGATACTGACAAGATGAAATAATATATTTCAAATCGTTATGTATTCGCGGATAATAATAATCGAGCTATTCCGCTCGTTTAAGTTGAATAGAATAGATGGTATAAAATGTTAAAAGTATACTCAATTCATTTGCATAACGAATACTACGTGACTCGGTTTGAGAATACCCAGCACATTTTAAGAATGGATGGAGATTACGTAAACACTGCCTATTGAAAGTGCTTCTTTTCCGCGATGCCTCCCAAGTGTAGACTCACGAGCTACCGTTAATTTCGAAACACGCACTTAGCAAACTTCAAACATGTCCGTAAAACAAGCTAGTTGATTTTCTTTCAAATCCTGTCAATCTGTGCCTAAAAAATTTTTCTACGTGAATCATCGAAGCCTGTTCACAAGTTTCAAAAAAAAATCTTAGGAACTCTTTGAGAGTATGTTCTCGAGACGGGACAGCAGAACGACGCTGCGTCTAAAAAGGATGTCACATCACGGAGACTTGAGCGGAGAAAGACTTGTTCTTGTTTCCGTGTTGGCGTGTCCACGATTACGCGACGATGCGGTCGTGCACGGAAGACTTCGCCGTGCGTCGCGGCGCAACGCGACGTTTTCGGAGCGCAACGAGCGTGCGACTCGGGGCTCTCGCGAGTCCGCTTCACCGATCGCGAACCGTGGCGCACGAAGCTTCGCGAGACAGTGTCGCATTACAGGCCGCATAATCCCGCGTGCTTGGAACGTAATACGAAATCGCTCGTTCCGGTACCGAGTTGGCGGCGCGTTACGCAAACGGCCGCCTACTATTGAAATCGTTTCGTTACCTCTAACCGCTTTTTCTTTGCCTTGCCTTCCATTAACTCGAAGGACGATCTACTTTCTACCTTGGACTTGTTCCGCTGGTAAGGTTCAGTGGCCCGTGTCGGTACAAAAAGGTTCGAACGGCCTGAATTTCATTACAATTAAAGCGTTAAGGACGTGTCTTCTCTAATTTTTTCCAATAGAATCTGTTTACAACCGTTTTGGAGTTCTGCTTTCATTTATCATCTGCTTACGACGCAAGTTGCTTTATTCCCACGCTCTGTTGCACCGGCACAAAAGCTCGTTCCATTGCGTTGACGGACTCTCTTGGAGGGAGACTTTTATGCCATCGTTCAGGAAATTTTCTTGAGGAGCTCTGAGAACCATGCGAAAGAACACACTCTGGATTTTGCAAAAATGAGCTCGAGCCTTTTGCACGTTCTAGGGACGGGACTGAAACTTGAGCCGTCGGAGAGATTTCTCGTGTCTCTCTCGAAGGATCGTGTCTTCGTCGTCGAGCCATATCCTCTGTTCTCGGTCGGAAGAGATCGGGCGCGGCGCAACGCGGCATTCCACTCGAAATCCAATCGTCGCGACCGCACGCTCTCGTTTATGTTTGATTCCTGTCGAGAGAGAGAGAGAGAGAGAGAGGATTTTGGGCCATTGTTACGGTAGACGTCTCTAACTGCGAGCGTATTTGCAGATTCAATCAGTTACTCCCCGTACAATATG